CATATGCTAGCCTAAGTCGATTCATCACTTTAAAAAATCCCCATCTATTCACAAAATACCTATTTACAACGCATACGTTACACTCTTCAAAACTTAAATTACCTATACCTACCCTAAAATTAAACTTCAATTAACAAATACTACGCAGGTACCAATTCTATGAACAACTATAAACAATTCACCTAAACATTACGAGAAAACAAAAGCATTCAAAACAATACCTAATCTCCCGGCTGATTACCAATTATGCAATAAACAATCCTAAATAAAAATTATTTAAAAAACATGTAGTTTTTTGTAACACTTATGTACATATCCGTAGTAAACTTGCAAATAATATCCTACATATTTTAAAAGCCAGCACAATGTACTGGGTGATCGCTTTTTTGTAACCACCTAAACATGGTCGGGTTACCACGGTCTTGCACCTTCTAATGACTTTTATTTAAATATCTTGTGAATTATTATATGTACTACGCTGAAATTTTACAGGTAGACAACTGAACTAAACATCTAATTATTGGCATAACATTCAGTTTATATATCCACACACAGGTTTATCGGTGGCCAAAAAAGGCCGCACACATTGTGATCGTGAACGTGGAGAGCTACATTTCATCATAACTTTTTAGTCACTTACAGTATTCTTACGAAAATTCGTATACATTTGAAGGTAGTTACAAGCAATAGAATAACGTTTGAAGTAAGTCTTTAGAGGTCTTATTTAAAGTGTTAGGACGTATTGAAGTGTTTTCATACTTACCTAAATAATTTTTAAACGGTCCATTATTTTTGTTATTTTACTGTCGAACAAATTAAAACTAATCCTTAAGAAGTTATGTACAAAAGATGGTTACAATCCGCTTACCCGTTTCAGAGATCCAGCAAACCCACAAACGTTACTCCAGCAGGATTTCGAATAACTTCGCAGCCGAAGAAAATACAAATACCAAATAAGTTGTAACATTTACCTAGTCCAGATAACTAATTATTTAGCTAAAATTTATTTCAATATTACAACTAAAAAAGAAAATGTCTGGCTGCGGTAACGTTTCAAACGTTACCCCAGCAGGAAATGTTTTTTTGAAATAACTAAAAAAGTTTAAGTGAAACAAATTTAAAAATTTGCCTAACAATTATAGAAGGGAGCAACTAATTATCTATAAAGTTTAAATGACCATTTTCGACATTATTTTGCTGGGGTAACGCACACGTAATGTACGTTTGGTTCCTGTTCAAATAGCAATCGTTTCTTAGTTCTCTTCAATAAAGTTACTTGAATGATAATATATTAAATTTCTTTTACATCTTCTATTTGCTCAATGCTAAGCGGCACGGATGGCGTTTTGGTTGCGTTCCGTTCACCTCGCCGCTTCCTACTGTAATATGTGTTATGGGTTCGATCCCCATATGGGACAATACTTTGTGTGATCCACAAATTGTTATTCTGAGTCTGGGTATCCTTTGTGTCCGTTTCATTAATGTTTCTAAAGTCCGCCGCGACAGGATATATTCCTATATAGTGCGGGAATTGTCTTTATAAAGAAGAAAGAAAGGAATCTAGAAAAACTGGAGTAGCAGTACCGTAACAGGATCTCAACTTTTAGATACCAACTCTCATCTAACGTTAGCACAGACGTTATGTCACGTACATACTAAGTACGTATTAAATTTTTAGCTATAGATTTTTTTTTACTGTGTGGAAACTCCCCACGTTAAATCACCTCACCGATTCATGTCGGAATCAAACCAAGTAAAACCACACTGTGTTCCGCCACAAGTAAGTCTATTTAGAGAAGGGATTTCCAAGCTATTTTGGGCAAGAGACCCATTTTCTAAAATGAACTGATACCTCAGACCCCCATAGCTAAATTACAGTACGCTTATCCACTTGTTGAGTTTAAAAAAAATAAAACAATGATACTTTGTCCTCAAATATTAGTCATTCTTATATCAAGTTGGCATACGTAATATAACTAATATAGTATCTTGAAAGTTTAAAATTTCTAATAAGAATTTGTGTTAATTAATAGGGCTCGATTTTTAGTCCTCGTCGACCCGTTTTCGTTTATGTCGACTACTGGGAAACCGATTTCGACCGCAAGCGGTCGATATTCATCATTTTGGGAATCCCTGATTAAGAGGGACTGGAGTATCCCCTAGGAAGGAAGCCCCCGAGAAACCCAGCAGACCTTGGCCGCCGTAGGCAACCACACCATTGAGAGCAGAGCGCCCTGCCTCGTTCCGGTGTAGAGGCAAGCGTGACACATGTCGCGCATCTTTCGAACACACGGCGTTGTGCCACGGCGTGTAAGTAACTTACTTGTTACTTTTTAGTCTTTAATGATGAAATAATCATCAGACTAAAAAGTAAAAATAGTTAAAAAACTTTTGTAACTAGCCGAACAAAACAGTAGGAAAGAAATAAAATTATTAAGAGAAAAAATACGTTTTATCGTGAAAAAGTTTGGGGTGATTTTTAAGATATTTTATAATAAACGTATTGACTTTACTTTTAATAGGTGTCAATAAAATATTTACTACAATTGAGATGTAGCATTGTATGCGGGCATGTAGCGTTTCCTCTTATAATTATCCATACTAATATACTATATATACTAATAATATATAGTAATAGTCATAAAATGTTTACCCACAATATTTTTCCATAGTAAAGCGATGCAGCAATTCAAAATGTTCACTTGATTTTAGACAGAGATGCGATATTTGTCAATCTTTTAACACAATCTTCTAGCAACTGGCCACACCTATCTAAAAATGTTTGCTTAACTCGTCGCATTGCCGGTTTAATTCCAATCTTAGTTACAAACCATCGGGAGACCCGGTTGCCCCCTAATACCATATTAAAACTTCCATGTTTCAACGCTTTTATTTTATCAGATGAAGTAATTTTAGTATCTTTCAACGCTCTGGAACTTCTCTTGTAGTCATCTTCTGGTTTAAAACATTATTAATTTCATTTTTTTAGTTTGGGTCCCTTTTTGCTGCGTGTCCATTACATCAAATGTCCTGAAAAGATATATAACAACCAACCAGCATGTACTTTATATTTTATTTTAAATAAAATTGGCAAATTTATTTTAATAAACAAATAAAAAAATACTTCTCCGTTACTAGGAAGCTTGGATTAGTTTCCAGCAACTCGTCCGGTACTAGAGAATCTTATACTGGGTGGATTTAGGGAAATAACATGCGTTGGTATTTATCGACTATAATAAAGCTTATAAATAAATTCTTCGGCTTACCGAAGAAGCGAAAAACGAACTTACCAACATTTTGGAAACAAAATGTTGTTGTAAACTATAAAGAACCTATTAAGAAAGAAAAGTGAATAGTATTAGATGCCTTATTTGGTTGTGTCCGTTACTATGTGCAATAGCACAATAGGTCCTTCTACTCTGCTATACTGCTATCTCTTACTTTACCCGTTATTAATAGCAAAATATCGTTATCGTTCTAAATCATATAATTTTGGAAGAGTTGGCAGCACCCGTTGTCAAAATAGGTTCATGAATAAGTACCACCTTCGACATAGGGATAGGCATGGAAGAAATTAGAATACTGTCGTTGATTTAGTAACGAAAAAATGTAACATATAGGCATGGTCCATCTAATCTAAGAGGTACCGTTTGACAGATTGAAGCACAGGGAAGGAGTCAAAGAAATCGATTTTAATATCAGTTTCTTAAGAGGTTTTGATATCGTTTCTTTATTTTTACAAATCGATTGCAGTTTTACTGATTTATGTATGTAAGTAATCTAGAAAAATGAAGTTTGGTAAAATCAAATGAACATCTATGAAAACAATTAAACACACTTAAGTAAAGACAAATAACACAAGTTGCAGTTTCAGGCACATCCGAGTGTCAACAATGGGCAAATTTATATTAGATATTGAGAAAGTTCATTAGGTTGAAAATTACTTGCATTAATAAATAACTAACTAAATAAATAACTTGCATTAAAATATTTTGTAAATACTCATCACTTATAAATGATAAAAAACACTTTGATACTTAATGTCCTGCATAAATATTGATTTAAAATGTAACCGAGTTTCCAAAATAATCAACTTTTTTGATGTAAAACATCTAATGCGGTATACGTCCCCACGCTATGTGATAGTTTATGTAAAATATGTAACATGTAATGCGGTGTGGAGACGCGTCATTCGTTTATTTAAAAAAAACTGAATAATGAAGTAAAACTTCTTTACGCAAGCTTGAGGAGTAAGGTAGTCAATGCGTGACGATAGCGTTACGAAAACAGTGATCGGGTGAGGCGAACGGAAGTTGAGAGGGGGATATAATTTAGTGAAGATAGAAAGAGAGAGAGTTGCGTTTAGTATATTACTATGGAGAGAGAGAGAGAGGCGGCAAGAGAGAGAGCACACATTTTCTCTTTCTATCATAGCCAAGAAGTTTTACTTCAGTCTTGTGGTCTAAAGCACACTCGTTTTTTTATATTTTTAATTGTGATAAATTCATTATTTCCTTTCAGAAGCTATCCTTTCATTCTCATTATTTCGACAAAATAAAGTCGATGTTTCACATTTCCAGACGTCCAACAAAATCTCGTTTTCTGTGGCTTTCACATAAATATGAAGTTACTGATGCCATATACGTAGGATATTTTAGGACATATAGACAATGTAATTCTGCAATTTATTTAAATTTGATACTCTACTCCACATCAATGTCGACTTTTCCACATCGATATTTTTTTGCCCAGGCCTACTTTGACAGTAAGTGGATTAGTAGACAATGTTCAGTGATGTTGTTATTATGATAACAGCAACAGCTGTGTGTTCTGAATACTATCGTGTACGTAATTAGTTTTTCTTCCCGGTATTAAAACGGTATCGCTATTTGATTGAAAAAGTAGTGAATACTGACCCATTTTAGATAAACATAAAGCCTTCAATGTTGTGAAGTTACAAGTTTGATTAAATCATTAATTATCGAAAAATAAATTACAAGATGAAATTTACCTTGAATATATTTACACTAAATTGTTGGTAAGTAATGTTTCTGTTATCAAACTTATCTACAGAACGTATTATCGTATCTACGAAATAACTTGTTAAGTCCATCAAAAATTGTTCTATTTAAGTTCATGTTGTTTGTAGGGGTATTCCAGTGGTGTCAAAAAATCGTAAAGAGAGATTTGAAGCGATTGCTAAATATCTACAGGAGAGCTCACACTCTATAGTATGTCTGCAAGAAGTTTGGAGTGAACAGGATTATCTATTTATAAAAGAAAATGTAAAAAGTGTTCTACCATATTCACATTACTTTTATAGGCAAGTATTTTCAGGTATACTTTTTATATTTGATTAGTAAATGGTAGATTTCACTACACCTGAAATTTAAAGATTTAAAATTCAATAAAAGTGCAACAAAAATGGAAAATATTTATGAAAAAAAGTCACATATAGATTATATTATGTATTTGTTACAGTGGTGTCCTTGGGTCTGGTCTGTGCGTATTCTCCAAGTGGTTAATACAGGATGTATTTTTTCATGCCTGGCCATTGAATGGTTATATTCACAAAGTCCATCACGGGGACTGGTTTGGAGGTAAAGGTGTGGGATTGTGCAGAATAAAATGTGGTAACAGACTAGTTAATGTATATTGTACACATGTGAGTAGTATGCAATTTTTTGCCTAACATATACATAAAATATATTTACTTAATCACAGTCGTGCATTTTCTGCGCTCAGATAGGCCATGTAAAGTAGTAAAGACAGCCTGCCACTAAAACCTCACAGCTGCTGTTTTTCATTTGGAACAATGTTCAATTGATTGCAGTCAAAGTATAAAATAAGTACACTATTTGCTGTGAAAGTACTTAATTGTCAAACACAAAAATTGTGTTATTATTAAATTTAATAGGTGCACCTACAGGGATAAGAAAAAACTTAGAACCATAGACATCTGTGACAGAACACCATGTTATTTAGATGATGAGAGATAAAGTATAAGTTAAAGTAGAAAGTGTACAAGCAGTGCTTGTTGCAAGGGTACTTTTCATTAAAATTGTGCAATACAATGTTATAAATGTTTAGTTATGTTATAATTCAACAACATCCTGCGACAATGAAATAAAACGCTAATAATAGTATTTATGGGTTGATTAATACGTTTTTTAATAACTACCCATTTACATACAGTTATTAAAAAAAAACATATTAACTTGAATGTTTTATTCCCACACATTATAAGTTTTTATGAAGTGGCCTTTTGATGATTGTGATCAGTTTAATATTATTATGACATTTTAAAATATAATAATAGAGTATTATTTTTTAATCATGAGGCTTAATGCTCCAGAAAGAGACCGCTGAACGGGATTGCGAGAGGACCGATCCCGAGCGCACAAGATGACTGCGGGCGGCCGGAGATTGGGGACCTTTGGTGGCAGATTAATTGCTGCGGGAGGGAATAGGATGGCTGCCTGATCGCACTAAAAATGTGATTGAGCATGAGGATAGGCTGATAGGCAGGGAGAAGCCACAGGCTTCTCCTGACATAGGGCCTAGTAAGGTGCGGCGTCGATCTGGGGGACCTGAAATCACATGGCCCGGGTTCTCCCTAGAGCAGGGCGCCTAAGGCTCTCCGTGGGGGTGTTTTTTAGTGGAAACACCACATACTCCTGGCTAATATATCTCCAAGGAGCCGGAGATCAGGCAGGTGGTGGCCGGTGTCCTTCTTTATATGGTCATTTGTGGCTTGACCGGCTTCTATTTCATTACTGTTGTTGGTCGCTCACTTGGTGAAAAGCAAGGAAAGAAATACTTAACACCGGTTTTCTGTGAGGCTCTCGTAGCAATCTGAGGCCCAAGTACGAGTTTATTTCACAACTATTCGCTCTCGAAAGTATGATATAGCTCTAAGATATAATGATATGGCTTCTATAAAATTTCGTACTTTAGGGCACCAATTACTTATTATTTCATTACTAATACATACTAATGTTAAAAATGCGAAAGTGTGTTTCTGGCTAACTGTCTGTTATGTCTTCACACTTAAACCGCTAAACCGATGTAGATGAAATTTTGGATGGAGATAATTCAAGCACGGGGAAAGGACATAGTGGTGATAAGGGGGGTGGAAGTTTGTATGGGAAATCAATAACCGCTGAACCGATTTACATGAAATCTAGTATGGAGTATGGAGATAGGTTAATTCTTGAGGAAAGATATTGACTACTTTTTTGGGCGATAACTGATATATACGCAGGCGGAGTCGCGGGCAAAAGCGGCAAGGTATAAAAAAAGTTACTTTTATACCTTGCCCCTATTTAATTATACAACTGTCATATATCCTTATCTATTTGTATATCAGTATGTTCTCAAATCGATCCCTATCTGTAGAGATAACAATTATTTACTAATAAAACAGGTTTAACAATATTTAGAAAGGCTCATAGGTGTTATGGTAATGATGGTCTGAATCCCATCACCTCACAAGGTGATTTGTTCGACTTAACTGACTAAATATCTGTGACACACTTGTGTTTTTTTGGACTAATCCCTCCTATAAACCCACCACTGTAACTCTTTCACACCAGAATCAACAGCAGTGATCCACGAACACACCGAATGAGGGTTTTCTGAAATGTTCCACGTGAGATGGCAGCACTGTAGCGTCAGGTCCAACCACCTGTCAAAACACATACACGATTTGTATTTTTGATCATTTTTTTGGTTTATTCTTTCTTAAAAACGTTACTAAAGGAATATTATTTTCTAAAATGCCACAGTGTTGTGCAGTGCCTATGTGTGCAAATAAAACTTTTGCGCCTCTCTTTTTGAGCTCAATCTTCAGTTCGGCAACCTTTCTCTGGCCGTAATCTATAATAAACTCAATAACACTTCCAAATTCATAGAATTTCACTGAAAAATTATACATTCGATAAGAATCTGTGCTATCTGACAACTGTTTGGACCTGACGCATACGAAGCGCCGTCTGGTGGCAGAAAAAATATCGAAAACCCTCATTTATGACACTCGGAAAATCCCAGGAAAAATTAAATTGAACAATGGACTACTCCAAAGTATACTACGAGGTTCGTTGCCTCATATGATTCAGATAGGGTGACGCGTAATCCTGGCTATTGCCTAGATGTTATTTTACATTTTTATACCTGAGATTCTTAACTCGACTCGTGTTGTACCTTCTTTGACCAACGTCATCTCCTAACGAAACGAGATACATCTCACACATTTTTGTTACGGATTGTTGGACAGATTCTTGGTCTGCCCTATTCGCACCGAAATTAGTCGCAAGATCGAAACACTGCTGCATCCACCCTCAGCTCCATCCACTAACTACATACTCATACATACCTACAAGTATTACTTTCAGTGCTAGGTTTAGTATGGGACTCGATTTTTTCAACCCGGCGAAGCAAATTAAACTATACAGATTAAGTTGTTATGTTTATCACTATACCGTAGGGCATCATAGTAAACTTGATAACTGGACTCCCGCACAAATTTTGATTGCCTGCCTTGCCACTTTGAAGGTTTATTTACATGTCAGAAGTAACCTATAGCCGTTAAGGTCTTCTTTATTTATACTAATATTATACAGAGATAAAGTTTGTGAGTTTGTATGTTCGGAGTAATCTCCGGTACCTACTACCGATCGAATTTTAAAATTTCAAATCTAATAAAAAATCTTTTACTGTTAGAAAAGTATATTATTACTGAGTGCTATTAACTAAAAGCTCGTTCATAATAAACTGGTCAGTTGATTGACGTCCCTACAAACTTTGAACCCTATTGTGATACATTCAAAGCTTTTTTCGAAGAAAAGAAGCCATGTCCTACATAGTACGTCCTAGGTCTTGTTTTATTCTATTCCAAATACACAACCAACGTTATAGTAAGCCGTGTAATCTTTTGCGACTTGAATAATTTATTTCATAAAAAAAAAAAAAAACATTTTCTTCTCATATCTAAAATCTTTTATGCAAGTTTCAACTTTATGCAACATGAGTTTTTTCTTTAGGTACAGCAAAAGATGTACTTAAGGCATTAGACAGACTTTTTGACATGATTCTCTTTTTAATTTCCAGCTTCATGCTGAATATCACACCGATGACATTTATTTGGCGCACAGAGTATTGCAAGCGTATTCGACAGCAGAATTTGTTAATTTAACAGCAAAGCCAGCTGACGTGTGCATATTAGCAGGTGATCTAAACGCAGCTCCAGGAGATTTATCTTTCAAGTAAGAAACGTTTTATTAAGAAGTGTTCGGATTTATGTATATTGTGCGCACTGCTGAAAACAGTAATACTAAACCATACAGGGCCTTAGATCAGAAGACCATTAGACTGCTTTAATCAGTCTTCATAAACAAGGAAACGCCTTGTATGCTCGCCTTGCTACAACTTCCAATTATAGTGTCTAAGTTACTTCTAATAAGATGCTTTACTTAATACCTTACCTTGTGCGGTTGCACAAGTTTAAAAAGGGTTACAAAGAATTTGCATGTATTTTTATACCTATAGAAGGTTTCTATAGGTATAAAAATACATGATGCAAATACTTTGTAACCCTTTTTAAACGAATATGACGCACGGAAATATATTTAATTTGAAATAATTACTCAATGTTTACATATCCGTGTGGTTACGGATTAAGAATACGAAGTGTCACCACCCCTATTTATCAGGTGGGTGTCGTAAGAACCGACTAAGGGACCAAACTACGCAGGACAACAGTAAAGAGAAAGAAAGCTTGAAACAAACCCTATACCAACCCGTCTGGCCAGCGTGGTATAGTAGGCCAAAACCTCCTTTCTAAGGAGAGGCCTATATCCAGCAGTGGACTATTACAGGGTGTTGATGTAATGTGTGATGTATGTTTAGATGTTTAGGAGAAGTGTGGGAAAGTAACATTTTTAAATGGGTTAAAAAGTAAAAAATCGGTAAGTTCACAAAACCAAAAGGTGTCCAGTATATATTTTAATATGCCGTGTGAAAGTAGTCTATACATTTACAGTTTAAGTTATTCTGTTCAGTTAAATAAAGCAAGACATTCAAAGTCGTCGAAATTTGACCGCCCGCGAACATCCTAATCTTCCCCTAATACTTTCTAATAATCCTCAACCTAAACTTTTAAAGCAACGATATACATACTCATAAAACTTATCTTTTTTGTGAGCCATGGTCTACTCAAGTGTTATAGTTTAACTTGCGCCTAGGGGCACGGGTGGATCCGTGGGACTTCGGATATCATTTTCGAGGTCTTGTCCCCAAGTTGGTTGGAGCAGTGCGGGCATTGACGCGGTTGCTGCCCAACATGAGGGGACCCAATGACTCCTACAGGAGACTTTATTCGAGGGTTATGAGGTCCATTTCCCTTTATGGGGCCCCGGTATAGACAAAGGCCTTGAAGGCCAGCAACGTCGCTCCACTGCGATGACCACAGCGAGTCCTGGCTATCAGGGTCATAAGAGGATGCCGCACGATCTCCTTTGAGGTGGCGAGTCTCCTGGCCGGAACTCCACCATGGGACCTGGAGGCGAGAGCCCTTGCGACTCTGTATCGGTGGCGCAAGGAGGTGCGGGGGTTGGGTCGGAGTTCTGAGACTCGAGAAATCGAGGACCAGAAATAATAATCTCCGGGAAAGGATGCTTCGGGGATCACCTGTCTCTGATCCGCAAGAAGGCAACGCCTGGCACGGCGCTCTACACGCTGGCAGAATGCCCGGCGTGATTTCAGCAGAGGCGTGACCTCGTGGCGGCCACCGGAGTGGGAATTCTCTCGCTTAGTACCATGATTGCGGCAGTGGAATTCCTTCTGTGAGCAAGTCATGCTTGCGAAGGAGACAGCGGACCGGGACCGGGAGAGATTTAGAACTCTTCTGGTCCGTCCTCATTAGGCGCAGGCCTGGGGGTGACGGGTGAGGCCATCTGTCACTCTAGCAGAAGCAGCCGAGTTGGCGGCGCGACGCGCCCTTTAGTTTAGAGAACGGGAACACCGTGGTTCCCACACACGAGGGGGTCATCTACATGCCATAGATGGCCCGGGGTACGTCAAGGTTCCAGGGATTTCCTTCCTATGGTACACCTGGTACCTGAAATGCCGTGCGGTTTTTAGTCGGTTAGAATCCGACATAACCACCGATGGGATTTTCGCACAGAAAAAAAAGGGGGGCACGGGTGGAGAAAATACGTAGGTACGTTCGCAGCTGCCTTCTTATATCTAAAAGTTGTAAGGGCATTTCGGGGAGCCCGCCCGAATCTGGGCTGTAAAATTCTCGCGAGAAAAAATAACTATTGTTTTAAGAACCATTCTTAACGCATTTTGTGCTATTTAAAGAAGGCTGGCTAGGTTTAAAGGCTTAATTACATACCTACGTTTTTCCTACGATATGAAACCAGGCCATAGATGGTATCAAGGCCGCTCGGCCTACTAATTATCTCCTAATTAGTTTAATATCGACTGTTTCCTTCATGAATATTTGATATATCTAGTAAAACTGCGAACTCAAAGAATATGACTAATATTTTAAACGAGTATTTTGCAGCTTAGCAAGTTATTAAACTTGCATTTTCTTTTTTCGACTCAAAAATAATTACGATTACGAGTTTCTTTATACATGTATCATACCAAATATGATTACACAGCAAAACGACTACAATTTTTGAAAAGTTAACCCCAAATTCAAAGTTATGATGGGAAAAATTAATATTTCATTCCATGCGGAAATCGCCCTTCGGATACTAAACTAATTGCCGGTTGTCCGGTGAGATGGACATTGATTTAACTTCTGATCAAGTTCTTTTTATCCTTATTTAAATGAGTTTAGAAATAATACTTATTGCTTTATTTCGAAACACCTATGCCGCAGCATGTCGTGTCATGCCGTTTCATTCGAGTAAAAAATAATATGAATTCTAAACATATTGAAATAAAGATAAAATTACTTCACCAGAAATAAAATCCTTTGTTAAGCTGTACCCGTCGACTCCTTAAAAATGCCGCCCGTGTGCGGTGCACGCTCTCATGCACTCTTTGGATTTCAAAGATGAGCGACTATTTTCGGACCCGACGTGGGACTTTTAGCAAGGTGTAAAGCGAATTTCCGCGTCGGTGTCCGGCGCTGGCACTATGCTCATAACACAACATCAAAAAATATGATTAAGTACGAGGGGTGATCAATAAGTAATGATAATCAATATGAAACAGAACTATTAGATTAAAAAAAGTATTTTATTTTTCAACATAGTCTCCTTGCAAGTTAATACATTTAGTGTATCTTTTTTCTAAGCCCATGATTCCCTTAGAAAAAAATTCTTTGTCTTGACCCTCCCAAAATGCCTCTACTGCGGCCATCACTTCACTATTGTCCTCAAATTTGTTGCCCCGGAGGTGTTCTTTGAGCCGAGGAAAGAGGTAGAAGTCACTGGGAGCTAGATCTGGCGAATAGGGAGGGTGTTCGAGCAGTTCGAACCCCGTTTCTTCAATGGCAGCCATCGCAACTGCGCCTTTGTGAGCCGGGGCGTTGTCTTGGTGAAACAGCACTCCAGCGCGCAGTTTACCGCGTCTTTTTGACTTAATAGCTTCTCGCAATCTTCTTATTTGGCCTGCGTAGTAAGAGCCTGTTATAGTGGCCCCCTTTTCCAAATATTCCACCATAATAATTCCTTCTGCATCCCAGAAAACAGACGCCATAACCTTTCCCGCTGAACTTGACACTTTGAATTTCTTCGGCGTTGGTGAGGAAGCTCGTTTCCAAGTCATTGATTGTTGTTTGGTTTCGGGATCAAAGTGGTGGATCCAGGTCTCGTCCATGGTCACAAAACGCGACAAAAAAAATTCTTTATCGGCCTGGAACTTTTGAAGATTCACCCTCGAAATGTCGACTCGTTTCTTTTTTTGCTCGTCGGTTAACATTCTCGGTACCCAACGCGCAGAGACCTTTTTCATATGCATTTTGTTGACAATGATTTTTTGAACGCTGCCATAGGAGATCCCTGTGACCTCAGCTACATGCCTTATGGTCACCCTTCGATCGGCCATCACGATATCTTCCACTTTTTTGACGTTTTCTCCAGTAAGGGACGTGGAAGGGCGTCCCTCGCGATGTTCATCTTCAGTGGAGGTTCTGCCCAGCTTAAATTCCTTTGCCCAGCGTGCGACTGTGGAATATGGAGGAGCAGACTCCCCCAATGTTTCCTCTAAGTCGCTGTGTGTCTTTGGTAGACATTTTTTTCAGGCAGAGGTACTTGATGACAGCTCTTATTTCATTTTTCTCCATTTTGATGTTTTCTCTTCGACAGTTCGTATTCAAATGAATGTATCTTCCGGTAATGGTGTCCTATTTATACATTTTTTTGAAGCTGAAGTAGTGGATATATAAGCAAGCAGAAAAAAAATAATTTGGGTTTTTGTGCGTTCTAGAAATACTCGATTATCATTACTTATTGATCACCCCTCGTACTATATTTCAAAGTAACCGTTTTCATGCGTCGCGTTTTTTTCCAACTTCGACTTTGCAATCAGTATCGACAACTACTTATATCTATTACGATTTAAAACATTATTCATCATAATTATGTATGTATACCAAACGCTTATATATTTTTATTGTGGATAATTCGAAATGTAGGTAGTTGTGTTCATGTTTTTATGGAAGCCCAAGCGTCTTGAAAAGGGAAGTACAGATTTTTTATTTTGAAGAAAAGAAATGCCACTTTAATTGCACAAGTTGCACTGCATCGAAGGTTGGTCATTCCCCCCTTCCCCCTATTTGGGCTTTATTAGTTCCCATTTCATTTGTTAATCTATGAAATTCTAAAGATATTTTTATGCATTAATATTGATTGTTTTATTACAGGATACTTTCCCAGTTGCCTTCATTAGAAGATCCATTCGATAGTTTTGTCGTACCAAAGGATTTAAGAAAAGTCGCTAGGCCATCAGGAACATCCGACAATGTTAATAACAGCTACTCGGATGTTAAACAAGTAAAATCTTGTCCTGACGGGAAACGAATAGATCACATTTTGTATAAACTTGATCCTTCATGGGAGGTTCGTATTCGTAGACCTTATTCATACCTACTCTTCTTACAAATAATTTTCTTTATTCGTTGACAATTTACGGCAGGTAATAGAAGTAGGTACCATAAAATACGGACGGAAGTCCGTGTGGTGACGGATTAAGAATACGGAATGTCACCACCCCTATTCATCCTGTGGGTGTCGTAAGAGCCGACTAAGGGAGCTAACTACGCAGGCCAATAGCACTACAAAGAGAAGGAAAGCTCTAAACAAACCCTATACAAACCCGTCTCACCAGCGTGGTGTAGTAGGCAAAAACCTCCTTTCTAAGGAGACGCCTATGTCCAGCAGTAGACTGTTATAGGCTGTTGTTGATGATGATGATGATGACTATAAATTAAAAACGTTATGCAAAATTGACGAACAGGATAACTGTTACTAAGTAGTAAATGTAAAGCTATGCAGTAATACAGCACATAAAATATTAGAGTAGTACTAACTCGTGTTTATCGCTTGGAAATTGCATTGCAAGTGCATTAATCGCCCAAAACGAAACATATTAAATGACGTACTAGGTACTTTTAAAAGCTATATGTTCTAGCTTTGAAAAGTACCTACAGTGTCATATATCTGATTGCGCTCAGAATCCCAAGAAGCAAGCTATTCTAATGTAAAAAAATCTCTTGCTCCGTGCAAAATCGCATTCTATCACAATCTATCCAACTTGTTTTAATATTTTTTTCAGGCTGAGATAACTAGTTTCGGTAACCCATTGCCCGACAGAGTACCAGAAAAAGAGTTTTCATATTCCGACCATAATGCAGTTACGTTGGAGCTAGTGTTGACACAAACCGATATAAAAACAATTCAAAAGCAATATAGCAAAGATAATTCGTTTGATGAAACAATAAAACAAACCATAAAAGTATGTCAAGAAGCAAGGGATGACCTAACCAGGTCTAAAAAACTTTACCTCATACTTGGCGGACTAATCTTTATGTTTTTAATCGGCACTGTTGGACTCTGGACGAATAATATATTGCACGATATCTTGAAACTGTTTGTAAGCGGTCTCTGCTTTTATTATCTTATAATGGGAACAATCTGGAACAGAATGGAGTTGAATAGTTTGAAGGCCGGCTTGAGTGCTCTAGAGAATTTCGCCACAACTAGAATGGAGTCAAAGAATATAGATTCATAAGATAAATAATGATAACTTAGTCAAACAAATGTACTTATTATTTTTACCTCGAGACACAATTACATATCTCACATATCTATAGTGAATTACTTAATGACGCTTTTGCTGTACCAAATATTATTGCTATTCTTAAAACATGTTGTTTATGTATAACTATTAAATTAATTCTTATTGCCTCTTTATTATGACACAGAAAGTTGACCTTACTACTTACGAACTAAGAAAAAACGCAACTTAGTATTGGCAACTTCCACAATTACGCGGAGATTTATTCCTACAAATGTGTATTACGATATTTATTTAATATCATCATTCTTTCCTGTTAATTCTGGAAGCGCTTGTATGAGTTCTTAACGTATCCTTAATTGAAAATGAAAAAGACGGCCATTACGTCTAACTCTCATTTTGTACCAATACTCATTTTGTGCCTTAAAAGCAATTGGCCACAATTGCTTTTAAGGCAATAATGCTTTAGTTTTTTGTGTGTAGAAGAATTCCTTGAGACTTCAATGTTCGAAGCTCTAATAACGATTAGAGCTTCGGATTAACAACGGATTCCGAAAGTCACTCTCTGGCCGCAGGGCTTTTAAAACCAACAAACAACGACGTTAAAACAACGATATTAACTGTAGATGTCGCATGACTAAATATGATACATTACAAGCGTAAGTTCTTACTAAAAAGGTTTAGGCCTAACTGAGGTAGGTACCTACTCTATAAATGCCATATTAATGTTTTTAAAATCATAATTAATTTAAAATATTTGATGTACATGTATGTTATTTCTGTTGAGTTGAGAATGTATGTAGCAAAATGTATTTTTTTGATAAAAGGAAAAAAACATATGGTCCTCAATAATGATGTCGCAGTTCTAGCAACCGAGCTATGTGGGTTATTCAGGTCGTTACTTTCTTAAGTTAGTAATATGCCAGATTAACATGACTGAGACCATAAAGTCCAGTGCCAGTGGCATTCGTATGACATATTTGACTCTTAATAATCTATAGAAATATGGGCAAAGAAAGAAGAAACCCAATTTCTCCTCGGTTTGTCGATGAACTTTTTTGTTTATTAACTGTGAACAAGCTTTACTTTTTTCAATAAAGTGTAGATTTCTTTATAAATAAGTAATAATTATATTTTGTTAGAATTTCGTCAGTTAGGCGAACACGATATAATAATAAAAATAATATTTAAGTATAAAAATACACAGGTGAAATACACAGACATTCAAAATTTTATACATTTTACCAGCTGATCATATCAGAGGTCTGGACCAATTGTATCTATTAGTTTATAAGTAATATTAATTACTAAGTGGCAGATTACTTATAAAAAGTAAGTTCATGTACTATATAAAGTAACAAAGGTTGTATTCATGCCTTTCAGGATACATAAATATTATTTGTGTATGTTTATGCTTTATTACATAAATATGCATTTCAAATAATTAAGTTTAATTTGATTTAATTAATTTTAGAAAGAATACTTATTATTATTTTATTTTAAATATTATATTATTGCAAATATATTGATTCATTTATCATTTAATATAATTATAATATAGAGTTCGTGTACTAACCACATTATCGTAATTTCAAAAGAGTTTTAATATACGTGGGATGTGTGCTTGTATTGACTTTAACATAGCTTCCTTCATAAGAAAGTTTTGTAAAGAAAGTTTTGTCAAAGAAAAAATAATATTTAAAGACAGACAAGTAATATACATATTTTAAATATTTTTTAGAATCTAATTAATAGTGGCTGTGTAATTCATGAATAATTCATCAAATACCGCGATAAATTTTATTTCTTACATAATAATAATTGTATACTTACACGGATTTCCTAATATTAAAGAGAATATAGTAGTATTCATTCTCGTGTAAAATTTGCGGCAGCTTAATGCACCTTCATTATTGTTCGTAAATAAATTATTTCATTTATTTTAATTTGGTGTTATTTACTCCTAAATTTACAACCTTATATAAATCACAATTACCTTATTGGAATTGTTGAAGCCACCTGTATATGGCAATTGATGGCGTGATGTTTTAAACCACATCCAAAGTTTAATTAGAAATAAATGTACAAAGTAATTTATAGTCAAATATTTATTATTTCTAAAACTTAACATATAATTACACTGTATGTTGTCAGATTAATATAAACAAATATCACAATTTATTATGTATATATTATATTTAACAATTAGTACTGAGTAATGGATATTATATATCCACCAAACATACATATGTACGGCTGATCGTCGAAAAAAATTATTTGGGCTACTTTGGTTTTAATCAAAATTTGTTCTCATTCAGGAATGTACAACTTATAAATCAACTTACGCCTAAATCGCCAATATAATGTACATAAGATCATAAGAACTAACGTAACCTATTATCACCTGAATTTATGTGATGTAATACACGACGTAATAAAAATGAAAGTAGCACCGCGCCATTATATTTTAATTAACTGCAAAATGACTTCAATGGTCAATGGGTATGTGATGTACCTATTATACTCTACAATATTATACTTGAGGGTTGGCGTTATCTTCATTAATACTAAGTAGAGGTTCGGTTTCAGAAGTAGTCGTAGACATTCCGGCTACAGTGTTGTCCAGAGATCCGTAGACGGACGGTCTTACTTCCACAGGCGGAGGCTCTATGTCGACACTCAGATTTGGAGCCGAACTGGACGGGACAGGTTCATTCACCAGCCTCGAACTTTCGTCGTATCCTCTTGCCATGTGATACATAGATTTTCCTCGAAGTCTCCGACTAAAGGAGCTTCCTGATAAATTAAAATTGATATTTTTAGTCCTTATTTTAAGAAACCTAGAAAATTTGCGTCACATCAATGAACAAATTAGTATAAGAGCCGGTCGCCGGGTCAACCCTGTACTAATTGCACGTTTAGTATTTAAATAATATCAACTTACCGACTACACCAAGATGCTCAGATATATCTCGTTTGACATCTGATACATCCCACATGGCAAGGAACGAGCCAAAACATGACGGCGACGGGTCGTCCGGAGAGACATACGGTTTGTATGAGAAACTGTAGTGGTGTGCAATCGCTGCTAAGAACATTTCTATACATATTAAAAAGTCCTGTAATAATAAAAAAGAACTTTAAAACATAGATAAGAAATGATATAATCATAAAAACATAGATTTTAGAACGTCATTTAATGCTTCGACACAAAAAGGGCTCACAGAATACCAGCGTAAAGCATGTTATTTCTTTGCATTTCACCAAGTGTGTGAGGTTACCGAAACCCAAACACTCCCCCTTCCCCTGATTCTAGGGGGAAAGGGGGGTTTGTGACTCTTGATTTGCAGGTGTCCATGGCGGTAATCACTTACTATCAAATGACTTGTCTGCTTGTCTGCCAAAAACTGCCAAAAGCTGAAAAACTTTCTGCAGCATGGGCAGGGCATGCAGCCGTCCAGAATTTTGATAGAGGAAAGATTCACAAATAATTATGCATCCATCCCACATAAGGAATGATACATGGAAGAGGCCTAACAAACAAAGGTACAGAATTGCAGTGTAGTAAATATCCAAGCACTGCAAAATCTGGTTGCCTGGCTGCTTATAGGGATCTAGAACTGATGGACAACCCAAGAGGTTCCTTTCGTGACAACAGAGATAAAAACAACTTTTTGACAGTTAAATTTAACTTACTACCCTAGTTAGTCCTAGTTTTTATTTAAAAAAAACGTTCCTGTAGCTCTTATTTTTGCGCACACAAAAAGAAAATTCATGTCACATGTGAAAAGTTAAATAAACATTTTTACTCACCTGCAACTTAGATGACATAATTTTTATCTTGCCTGTATCAGATATATCAAATATTGTTGATATTACTCCGCAGTATACCAATATATTAATTATTACTCCTTGGCTGAAACCAAACATTTCCGAAATATTTAACATAAAAAATAATATGTAATGCTGAGTATGTGATGCTGAGAGTGAGTATATCATTGTTATCTAAAACCTTCAAGTCTCTAAGAAACAGCTTAACACTTTAACCACTAGTTCTCTTTTATTTAAAGGTGCATCCACAATTGCTATCCTCAACAAATTACACCAGCCTGGACTTAGCTACGGTCTCTTGCTCTAAAATCCTTTTAAAATCAAACATTGGCAAAGAAATGAAGAAACATATACAAACTAAGTAAAATACAGCAATATGCAGTAAAATACAATTTATACATAACATGTGTTACAAGAACAAAAAATAAGACTGGTATTTACTTTTATCCTGTCAATGACAAATACATAATGAATACTTACAAGAATGAAAAGAATACCACAGCTTTTATGCATAAGAATTTGCCTATAGGCTTCATTGGTTTTAATTCTGTTTTGTTTGCTCTGTAAAAAAGCACAAGACAATACATGGCAACAAATTGTGAAAAATTATTCATGGCCACCATATATGGAAAGGCCACTTTTGGACTGAAGTCACTCTCTCCATAGACCCCAGACAGCTCACATATCATGGATATCACAGTTGTGATAGGCCTCACCACAGTATATTGTAGAATTCCATGTTTGCAATTATGTACAAATTCCCTGAAAAGAAGAATAAACATATAATTTGAAGTTTATTAAAAGTCAATATTACTATATTCATACCTCTATTTGTCTGAAATCGATAAAAGAATTTCTAGAAATTTTGAATTTAAGGAAGTACTAGTTACTACTCTATTCCTATATGGGTTCGATTCCCACCCCAGACAATATAGTATGATAAGCAAGATCTTCTCTCTGTTTTTGTTTCATTTATTTATAATATGCATGCATTTAGAAACATATAAGTATACTTATTAGCAGTCTAGTTACCATAGATCAGGCATTGCCTAGTTTGGGATCATACAACTGTGTGTTAGATGTGATCAGATCCGTGAGGTTATTATTGGCAGTAACATAAAGTTACATAGCCTACAATCTTCCTCAATGAATACTTTATCTTATAAAAAATATTTTTGTTGAATTAACTAACTGCAGAGATTAGTATGTTTAAAAAGAATAACAAAAGACTGTTTATTAGTAAGTATAGAAGTGGAGATGAACATGGTTTATGTTGATTCTATGTATAACTAAATACATAGGTGGTATTTTTATAAAATTTATGTAATAACTATATATATATATAAATATAGAACTTTTGTAGCATTTATTTATTTTCATGTAAACGGCATCCATAAAAGAACCTTTTTATTTAAATAAATAAAGTTGGTTTTCTTGCTATCAAAATATCTATATAAATATAAAACAATTGAATATTCATTGAGGTATAAACCAGTTTATGAACTACAAATTATTTCAATGTTATGCAACAAGGTTGTATCTGGTTACTTTGATAAAAGAAGGTGACTTAGTAACTGTCCTACATACTTATGTTTTTCAACAACTATGTGTATTTACATACTTATATTATAAACAAAAGAGTCAAAACCTCGAAAAGTTCTTCACCAATTTAGCTCATACTTTGACACAATATACAACACACTTCAAAGATGGTTTTTAGGTATTTTTAACGTCAGTTCATTTCTCATCAATGTAACTTCAATAAAATACACAGCAAAAGGCTTGCAGAGTACAGCTAGTTGTAAGATATATATTTTTTTGCAAATATGATAATAATTGAAGAAGTGTAGAAACTCTTATCTTATACTTTTGTAAACAATTGATAAGAGCTTGTTACCTCGCTTGCTGACGACTTGCTGGAGTTCCTACTACTGTCAGATTCAATTAATGTTAACTATAAGCAGATAACTCTTGCAAACTTCCCTTACTTATTAATGGTAAAAGTCATTTAGTCAGACAAAGATAATTAATGTTCTAATAAAATCTTACTTTTTGTATGAAATCAAACCATCTTAAGAGCTTTTATACTGAAAGTTAAGTAAACAAAACAGATTTATGTAGTAAAACAATATTATCTTCTTAAAACTTACCTCCCCATTTCCCAGGGTGTTAAACAACATAAGGGAAATATATGATACACTTGAGGTTTTGTTTCCAACAGCGCTTCTAAATCCTGATCTTCATTAAGATAATTTAATAGATACTTCATAAAATTGTAAATAACATAAGCTTCATAACATTCTCGTAACGAATCTACATATATAGACTGTTCTGGAAACTGTAAACCTATCCATGCATTCAAGGCATAAATAGGAACCATCCATAAAATTCTGAAAAGAAAACAAGTAATTTTATAAAACATGTTAACTTGAATGAAATGTGTTGAAATATGTTGAAATTAATGCGTAAACAGCACATTTATTTTTTTCAACATAATCAATCATCAACAGCCTTTAATAGTCCACTGCTGGACATAGGCCTCTCCTTAGAAAGGAGAAAATAATAAAAACACATTATGACAACCTATTATTCAAAATTACTGCAATTTAAGTACCTGATTATATGTTTCTGCAATATGGGCTTTGTGTAGTGAACAACATGTTGTGTTATTTGCCATATGGAAATTGGTAAAGCTAAGAGAACAAATCCACCGCCCACCAATGAAATTTGGTCTGACTTGCTAAATCCATTTTGTATTGAATGAGCTATTAGTATTGGAACTAATACTATTACTAGAATAACGTAAAGTGCCAGTAAAACCGGCCTGATCCAGAGTCTCCATTGTTTTAGAAAGGATAATATTGTAGAAGAACACATTATTTAAATGTCTAGTCGTTTCGTATGACACACATTTCTTAAACTTGTTACGTTAAAGAAAATATTGCAACACAAATGCACTGCTTAACAATTTTGATACACAACCAGAGGACACAGTATTTCTTTATTCTATTGATCACTTCTTTAAAGTTTACATCAACACAATCACAAAGTGTCGGGAAACACGATAAAAATAATGAAGTTAGATAAATTGAGGAATTTGCATTAATTCTTTCTGACACTGACACTTGACAGATATTAAGATATTGACGTCATGGAAGCATTCCTTTTTTTTTTTGTGCGGAAATCCCCTCGGATCCCTCGAGTGGGAAGTTTATATCGGACTCGACTAAAAACTGCACGCCGCCGTCTCCAGGTGCCAGTAGGCGGAGAACTAGGTCTATCCTAGAATGGAAAGGCCTAGTACTCGGACGTACCTCGGGCCATCGAAGGGTTATAGATGACCCCCTCCTGTGTGTGTATGCGAACCGCGATGTTCCCACCCTGCCCCCGAATGGCGTGCTTGCTCCTTAGCTTCTGCTAGGGTGACAGATGGCCTCACCAGTCACTTCCAGACCTTTGCTCATAGAGGCCGGAGGTCGTTCTGCGACCTCGCGCCACTGTAATGGTCATGGAATCCTCCCTAAAAATAAAACGAAAGACTAAATGTGTTGCTTCGGCTATTTTTTCTAAATTCGTTTTAGTCTTTTTGTTTTGACGAAGAAACAGTCAATAAAAATATATAAAAATATTTTGCTTTGTCCCATTCAGACTGATCTAATTAGTCAATTCTAAGAATGGCGATGTAAGATCAATAACTTAAAGTTCTGATGTGTCGAGTACTCGATTCTTAAAGATCGATACATTCCTCGAATACACTAAAATTAAACCGAAACCAGTATATAGAAAAAGTAAGTAAAAAATTGTCCTAAACATGCAAAGAGACGAGTCTCAGATGGTACATAAGCAGTGCTTAGAGACATAAGATCGAACCATAAGATCTGCTCAATGATCTAAATAAACGCAAAGGCAAATTCTAATCCCTTTACGTTGATTTCGTTAGCAGAAGAATATTTATTAAACTTTGCTAGTGATCCGTGATTAAACATCATGCTTTGGTTTCGGTATGAGAAGGTGTAAAAATATAATTAATTTGTTATTGTATTAAACTCTGTTACGTTTTCACGGCTAAGGTACTGAAAGGAGTTTGACGAAATTCGTTATGTAATTCGTTGTGTTTTTTTGGCACAGGGGGTAAACAAGCAGAAGGATAACCTGATGGTAAGTGAATACTTCCGTCCATGAACACCTGCAACTGAAAAATGATAAGCACGTTGCCGCCCATTGTGTCCCAAGAATTCTGTTTTTTTTTTCTTACAAAATGTTTTTGTTAGGTCATTCTGGTGGAGCTTGGCCCATATGTGCCGAAGCATGTTTCTTCCATGGTAAGAAAACTATGCTAGTAGGAGTTTAAACGCAGTGTAAATCATTAACAAAAAAAGTTTATTCAAAGCTGGAAAATAATTCTAAAACCTCTTCTGGCATTGATTGAAACGTAACATATAGAATTTTTCTACTTCTACTACTCTGGTCAACTGTAAATCTAAATTGTCCAGGTTATTTTTTTTTTTCTGAGTCTGCCCATTTTTACTAGGCATCGAACGTACACAATCTTTAGCCGTGTCTCGTCTTGACCTATGATTCGCGATACTAGTCGGTTGGTTAACGTTGCTCCTGGTCAAGCTAAGCGAGAAAGGATCCAGGTTGCTTTATATATATATTAGTATTTTCATTCTACTCAACTATCTAAGCTATTATGCATCATAAGACATAAATAATTCCTCAATAAGAATTTTTACAACCAATCAATCAACCAGTCACGTTAACACACTTTAACTGACTTGAATACAAGGGCCTAGTCTGAGACTGTTTCAGATTTACTCGCTCTGGACGGCTAACCCGTTCTGTGTTGCGCTTGGTTAACATTTCAGTGCGGGCCAATCACAACGCCGAACGCGGTCGCCGTGACGATCAAGTAGATGTGACAGAAACTCACACTAGACTCTCAGATTACTACAATATAGAAAGAGTCAAGACTGTCTTTGTCACTGACTTTGACAGTGTAGTTGATATTGTTGCCAGTTAACTAGTAATTTAGCAACATATATCCTTTTAATATTTTATGTGGGTAATTAATGTTTTAGGTTTTGTTGGCACTACTTTGTTTGTATTTTTTTGTTTTATTTTACCTTCATTAATTTAAAAATAATTTTCCCTGCTAATAAGCCGGGAATATAAATTATTCAAAATTACTATCAAATATATTATAAGTAAAATGTCTTGTCTTGTAGATTAAAAGATTTGCAAAAAGCTGAAGTACATGCGTTTGGAGAACGAAAGAAAGAGATAACGTTATTTTCTGACGTCATAGAATAGGTTGCCACATTCAATAATCTTAATCAAGACGAAAAAAAACACTTTACAGGTGTTCGGTTTTTTATTAAAATGGATTTGGTTAAAAGTTTTTAATTTTCACATGAAAACCATTCCTAGAGCTTATTAAATAGTGATATTGTACATAGGTGTTTAAATTTCAAAAATAAGACGGGAATTTGCCTATTTATGCATTTACAGTTATACGCGTAACACGTATTTTGTGCATCGAACTCAAGCATTGAATTAGGCCACATAGCGATCTCTCCCTAAAATACCGCTGTTCTGGCTGTCGACGTATCAACCTAACGTGAGTTCGTGATTTATTACAGTGTTTATTAATGACTTGTCTTAGTATACAATACCTAGGATATGGTTTTAATTACATACATGTTAGATAGTGTTTAAAAAATAATATAATGTGAGTGAGTAGTTATTTCGTATGTTTTCGTAAATGGGTCACCCCGCCATTCATATGAGAAACAAGTTGTTTAGTGTTTTTAAGGTCTTTGGAGTATCTCATGGTGATGAGTGTTTTATGTTGGAGTTTATTTACAATTGAAAGGTTTTGTTTTGATATGTTTACGTTTTCGTAGCATTGTAAGGCGGGAGAGTGATGATCAGAAAGCCCACGACCTGGTAATGTGATGTCATCAAAAGGAGAAACAGAGGCCGATTCCGGCACCGTGTCGCCGAATTTACCCATAGTAAAAAATGAACCGGTTAGTAAGTTCTTAAAAAATATCTTTATTAACTAGTTAGTGTTTCTAGAGCATCAAAATGGGTACTTCTTCTTTACCTGGAACTAACATTTCGCTCTATATAGACACTTCTGCAATCTTATTAGAATACAATTTAAAAGTGCATAATTAGAATAATACCTGAAACTACTAGATATCAATATCATACAAGTTGTACGAGATCCTTCATGAAGGATTATAGTACTTTTATTCTTATCCTTTACATAACTGTCCAAAATTTACAGTAAAAGTTAGTAGGTTTTAGAGTTAATTATAAATGTAGTTTGTAAGAATCTGTAAAACTGATATATTTCAGAATTATTTCTGAGATGGATAATTATTTTAATATACTGATAATGGTTCATTAATAAAATTACAGTAGCAACATGTATAATTAGCCTAATTAACCGGTTGGACCTGATTACTCAATGTCATTGCATTTGTTTGTTGACACAAAATATTATATTAATTTACCTTTATACAGTATAAATTGCGGCATTGAAAAAAAAATACAACCAATTATCCTAATTTGCACTATATTCAAATCATACCAAGATGGAATTAAATAATTTTTGATTTGATCTAAAAGTCTGTGTGTTATGTTTATAAAAGTATGTAACATTTAAATATTTTCTGACAAGATTATTTTCTATCAGAAAATGATAAGACTACCTTCTTATCACTGCTGCAGAAACATATGTTTCAATTGGCATTTCCCAAACTATCACCATTTGATGCTAATATTTGATTTGCAGACATATCAATACCTGTTTACTGAGTCATATCTAAAATTGTGTATAAAAAGTAACAGATAACAACAATATTTTATTTCTATATTAAGGTATAATCTACACAACAAAAACTATTTCAATTCTTATGAACAGTCTCATAATAATGTTGTTTTCCACAACACAATAGTTAACTTGTATATTGATAATAGGTCTTACTCAAGTTCTAAAAATAACCTATTAAAACCGTTTTGTTTTTAAGTACCTAATATTGTTTTAGGGATTATGTCATATGCGAAAACCACTGTCATTTCATAACTACTTGAAAAGTTATGTTAAGCATAACTGTTTAGTGATTTAGGTCAAGTTTAAAGATAAGTGATATTGTAAATCGTATTTTCTAGCTACAATATAAAATTATACAAAAGAGATTGGCAGATTTGAAGTGATGACCTAATTCTTTCACTACCATCAAATTTTCACCTAAATGTTATCTTGAATTAAGGTTTTGAAATAAATCATACACACTGATAATATTAAGTGGATATATCTGCAATTGCCAGCATATAGACATATATGTGCCAACATGACCCAACTAAAAGTAAAAGTTTCTCTCTGTCAGCTGTTTTGGCTCCTAGTGATTTAATATGTGCATCTTTTCTAAAGCAACTTGTTCTTCAAAAATTCATGTCAGATTTGAATTCATTATTATTCCATGGCCTAGATTATTGTTTTCTAAATTGTGACTTTTATATGTAAGTGGGAACAATTATTAGGATACTTGATTCTGTTTAAAATATATAAAAGAGAATAATTAAAGACATTATTAATAAATATCTGTTGGCAATCGGAAGATAATAAATTTGATTTTTAATTCCTGACCTATATAACAAATAGTGCTCATTACTTTTTATTATATTGGTGTTAGGACTTCTTAGGAGAATAAGGAACTATGTAGGCAATGCATATGCAACTTTAAGATCTAAGAGAACGCACTATAAAATAGGTGCTTAGTATTTATAAACTATGAAACTGATATTACTATACATGGTCAAATAGCTTGAATAAACATCAACACCTTACTAGTATTAGTGTTTGTCAACTAGGCTTCGGTAGTTGGATTGAATGATGGCCAATCAACTTCTTCTAAAAGTAGTTCAAGAATATGCTAAATGCAAGAAAAATCTAAAATTCATAGCAAAACACTAAAACACAAGAGACAATCCCAGTCAAATTCTTAAATAACAGGAAATCATGTTTTCAAACAATTTTATGAATAACTTGTCTGTGCATCGCATAAGGAAAATGGACTATTTAAATAAGTACCTACTAGTAGTGATGATTTGCAGATCAAATAAGATAGATCTTTACTACCGTGCGGGTTATGGATTATATTGACTTTATTATTTCAGGTGGCCACCAACAGCAACAGTAAAGAGACTCCAAAAAGAGGTAGTACATTGTTAAAATGTACAACATGCAACAGTTTTAGTACATTAAGTAGTCGGGCTCTAACCACACACATGGCTCAATGTTCCCCAGACAACAATAATGTGGCAGCGGCACAAAATGCCGATCCTCGGCCTCACAGGAAACTCTTCGAATGTGATGTGTGCAATATGAAATTTTCAAATGGCGCGAATATGCGTCGACATAAAATGCGACACACAGGGGTCAAACCATATGAGTGTCGTGTTTGCCAGAAAAGATTTTTTAGGAAAGATCATTTGGCGGAACATTTCACGACCCACACTAAGAGCTTGCCGTATCATTGCCCAATATGCAACCGAGGATTTCAGCGACAAATTGCCATGCGTGCACACTTCCAGAATGAACACGTTGGACAGCATGACCTTGTGAAAACTTGCCCATTATGTAGTTACCGTGCACCTACTATGAAAAGTCTCAGGGTTCACTTCTTTAACAGGTAACATTTATTTCTTTACTTATCCAAGCCGTCCGTTAAAATAGCTGTGACGTGTTGGTGTCGCGAATCGTTCTAGGACATGACTGATTGGTTTAGCTAACAAAACTTATTCTCACTGCTTTGATTTATTTTACAAGCAATTCTTGCATAATATAACGAGTATCAATCAACCCGTCTGGCCAGCATGGTATAGTAGGCCAAAACCTAAGGAGAGGCTTATGTCCAGCAGTGGACTGTTAAAGGCTGTTGATGACGATGATAACAAGTATCGATTATCATTCTTAAACTTGTATACGAAAAAAAGAAAGTTTAAGTGAAAGTAAGCAATTTTGCCTTCATCAAATTATTCACAGACATGGAATAGACTTGGATAATCCTGGCCCTGGCAGCAACTCTTCAGTGTCTCTTCTTGCTGCTGGTATAGCTAATGCTGCTTACGCCGATGGAACAATGGATCCTAGCGCTATAAACGCCCTAGGGGCTTTGGGGTCCAGTCTATCGGTATCCGTCGCCGCCACATACTCCGACAGCGGTGACAGCAATGGAGCCCGTTCTGTCGATAATGCCACTCCACCCATGCATTACCTGACACCACATGTTGAGATTTCCATGGCTGATAATAATGAAACATTTTCACCTGGACAAAATCATTTAGGTAATTCTGGTAAGTGGCTTACACTTAATAATATAGTGTGACTATAACTTGTTCTTCTCATAACATGCTAAACAAACACATGAACAATATTCAATTTCCTAGGTGTTCTTTGCAGTATATCTCACAAATAGTTTCTGATGGGCAATTAAATGTTTTTATTAGATTAACAAATAGTGGCAATCTCTGTCTTACTTACAAACACAATATTTTAATGTGGACTTTTGTCTCTCAACTTCAAAGCTAATACATATACAATTTAAATGCTTAACATAGTAAAATGTATGTTCCAATAGTAAATATTTTATTGGCACCTTTAGACGAGAAATCTTAATGTATCTATCTCTATGACATGTTTTTAATATTACTAGAGCTTGCTGTATTTGTATAAACACATTGTATGGTGTCAAAAGTTGAACAATTTCAAAGGATGTAACTACCCCAAAAATCATGAGAACATAAAATAAAAATACTTACTATTGATTCTGCTTCATGATTGCAATTATGCATTGCATGTTGGCCGTTAAGGTTGTAATTTTTAATAATCTTAAAAATAAAAATCTTCACATAGTTTACCTTATCCCCTAACGTAATCCTTATCAAGTGTCAATGAACATTTATCGAATTTATTTTTATTTCATCAATACACTAATTGTTGTATTAACATAAATATTTGTTTTAGATTCGCGCATGAATGGTGAAGGCCCAAGTTCACCTCAATCTGGTGACAGCGCAATCGCCAGCAGCTCCTTATCAGCTGGAATGCCCACCAATATCACTCCGTCCATCACACTTATACCTATTAAACAGGTAAATTTTATCTTGTATTTTTAAAGTATAATATGGGGTTTCAAGTTTTGGTTTAGATGTCCAGAGGTCATGAATTTGATTCAGATTCAGTACAAATATTGTGTGACTAGCTGGTGCCCGCGACTTCGTTCCCGTGGAATTTGTAAAGCGCTGCCATAGTGGGTTCGCGATTCTCGGACCGGACAAAATATCATAGGGTTTTTCTGAGAGAAAAAAATAGCCTAAGTTAGTCCTTATATAGACAGCTACCTGGTAGTAAAATATTATCAAAATAAGTCCAGCCTTTTTGAAGATTACCCGGCACAAACAGACAGACAAAAATATTTAAACTGGTTTTAGGCATAGGTATCGTGCGAATAACCATGTGAGCATGAAAAAACGTATTATTATGACATTACAAACAGACACTTCAATTTTATTTATTTGTATAGATGAGCACAATCATGTGTTCTGTATAAATTCAGAAGTATATATTTAGTAATATAAACGCCTGGTTGATAGTAATAGGTTTGCCCCTTATTACATAAATGGGACTAAAATTATTATCGGCAAAATGTAGGCGATTAATTCTCCTCTGTCTACTTCAACAGAGATAAAGACGTGAGTTTATGTATGTGATGTACTTGTTTAAAAAAAATATAAATCATACTCTTTTTCATATTAAATGTACATTATATATTTGAATCAACACATTACAGGCAAGCATTAAAGTGTTCCACTTTTAAATAAATATACAAGGTCTATTGCCTAAAGTTGTTTATTAAGTGTGTCACTTGTGGGGGAATCGCCACCACATTAATTCCCAGGTTCGTACCGGGATCCTTATCCAGTAAGGTAGGTAGGACGTTTAAGAAAAAATATCACTGCACTGAGGTGGAAGTCGAATGATGAACGATAGTTTAGTAGTTCCAACAATTATATTTTAAAAAGAATCTTTACAAAATTAACAGATATATAGATATTAACTCGATACAAAAATAATGAGCGGTAGTAAGCGTGAGCGCCGAACGCGGAGTGCGTAGGTAGGTCCGTACATTGCCGGTCGCTAGGCCGGTGCGACGTCACACGCCATCCTTTTGTTTACTGCCTCGGGTGTATGGTCCAAGTTGCGAAAGTTGAGCGGAGCTAATTACTTCGTAGGATGTGGTGTAAGTAGGTACGCCACATATTCCCCCCGGCCAGACCGTGACTACGGTCGATAGAACTCGGGGAACTTGACGCGACGACCGCTCCTCGTTCTTCGTTCTTCCACTTCATCACCAGGAGTAGGCTGGGATGCAGGCACTGTAGTAGCAGCGGGTGTAGAAGCAAGCGGTACAGCAGAAAGCGACGGGGAAGTGGATGAGCGTTCTTCCTTCGTCATGTACGCTGGCTTCAACCTGTCAATAGAGACGTTAGTAGTTTTGCCGTTGACGTCTATAGTGAAGAACTTGGCATGTCTGTTGATAACCTTGAAAGGTCCTGAATAAGGTGGCTCCAAAGAAGCTCGCACGCGATCCTGTCGAAGGAAGACGTGGGAAGAAGAAGAGAGATCTTTGGGCAGATAGAATGGAGAAGAAGTATGCCAAGAAGTTGGACGTGGCGTAAGCTTAGCCATGTAGGATTTGAGTCGAGTAGCATACTCAGTGACGTCAGCGGCGGTGAAAGAGTCTGAAGGGGAAAGAAACTGGCCAGGTAAACGGAGAGATTCACCGTAAACCAACTCAGCAGGAGATGCTTGAAGGTCTTCTTTCCAAGAACTACGCATACCAAGAAGAACAAGCGGAAGAGTTTCTAACCACTGAGAGGAAGAATGACACATTATTGCAGCTTTTAGTTGTCGGTGTAAGCGTTCGACAATGCCATTGGCGGCGGGATGGTAAGCAGTAGTGCGAAAGTGTCTGGCACCAAGAAGGGAGGAGAGAGCTTTGAAGAGATGGCTCTCGAACTGCCGACCACGGTCGGTAGTGATCCGGGCTGGACAACCAAATCTGGCGATCCACCCAGAGACGAGGGCTGCAGCGCAAGACTCAGCGGTGATTGATTTAAGCGGGTACGCCTCAGGCCAACGTGTAAACCTGTCGATGACGGTGAGGCAGTACATGTAGTCAGAGGAAGATGGCAAGGGACCAATAAGGTCAAGATGAATGTGTGAGAAACGAGAAGAAGGAGTCAGGAATGTGGATAGAGGAGAGGTAGTATGGCGAGTAACTTTACTTGATTGACATTGCAAGCATTGCCTAGCCCACTCTCTACAATCTTTGCGGATTCCTGGCCACACAAACTTTTGCGTGACCAGTCGCACTGTAGCAGAACAACCGGGATGATGTAAGTTGTGCAGCATCGCGAAGACTGTTTTCCTGAAACTCGGCGAAATGTATGGTCGAGGTGGCTGAACAGACATGTCACAGTAGACTGGAAGAGTGCTGTTCAAGGTAAGTACCTTTTGTAGTCTTAGGGCAGAACCACGTAGTAGCAGGTCTTGCAGTTCTGGATCTTCGTCCTGAGCACGTGCAAGAGCCTGATAGTCTAAGGTAAGTGATACTTCCTCAACCCGAGAAAGTGCATCCGCAACCACGTTGTCTCGTCCTGGCAGGTAGCGTATATCGGTAGTAAATTGGGCTACAAAGTCCAGATAGCGGAACTGTCTTGGAGTACAGTTTTCTTTGCTCATGGAGAAGGAGTAGGTAAGCGGCTTGTGATCCGTGAAGACAGTAAAGGTTCTCGCTTCCACCATGTGCCGAAAATACTTGATAGCCTCATAGACAGCCAGGAGTTCGCGGTCGTATGGGCTGTATTTCATCTGTGAGCTGGAAAGTTTGTGTGAATAGAACGCAAGAGGTTGCCAGTCCTCACCTTTCTTCTGTTGAAGTACAGCTCCGATGGAAGTCAAAGAAGCATCCGTGACGATCGCTAACTCTGCAGAAGGATCTGGATGAGCAAGGAGAGCTGCATGAGAGAGAGAAGCTTTGCAGTCCTCGAAAGCTTTACGACGTTCTGGAGTCATTTCCACAGGATGTGAACCCTTAACCTTCGGACCAGATAGAACGGCATTCAAAGGTGCTTGAAGTTGAGCTGCGTGGGGTAGAAAACGATGATAAAAGTTGATCATACCCAAGAATCGACGAAGCTCTTTGACCGTTTTAGGTTCCGGGAAGTTCTGGATGGCCTCGATCTTAGACTCGAGAGGCTGTGTTCCAGCAGCTGATACTCTGTATCCGAGGAAGACAACTTCAGACTGACCCAGATGACTTTTGTAAGTGTTTACTAACACTCCATACTCCTTGAGGCGCTGAAAGATGATGTGCAGGTGTTCCTTATGCTGCTCCACAGAACTGGAGAAAACGAGGATGTCATCAATATACCCATAAGCGAAGTCGAGTCCCAGCAGAACCATATCGATGAACCTTTGGAAAGTTTGAGCCGCGTTTCTTAAACCAAAGGTCATGTACGGGAACTCAAAAAGCCCAAAAGGAGTAGTAATGGCAGTTTTAGGTATGTCTTCTGGATTGACGGCAATCTGATTATAGGCCTTGACTAGGTCTATAGTAGAGAAGATGGAACAACCTGACAGTTGGTGTGAAAAGTCCTGGATGTGGCGGACGGGATACCGGTCTGGAACGGTTCTAGCATTTAGGGCACGGTAATCCCCGCAAGGTCTCCAGGCATCATCCTTCTTCTTCACCAAATGCAGTGCAGAGGACCAAGGACTTTCAGAGCGTCTAGCTATACCACTGGCGAGCATATCCTCGAACTCCTTTTTCGCAGCTTGGAGGCGAACAGGATCAAGACGACGAGGCTTACACGAGACTGGAGGTCCAGGGGTAGTCTTAATGTAGTGCATTGTACTATGTTTGGGAGGAGACTGAATACCTGCAGGTCTGGTGATTTCAGGGTAATCACGAAGAATGTGATGAAAATCCGAATCACCAGTGACCGCCTTGATGGAAGACAGCTCATCAGGAACCGAAGAAGAAAGGGCTGCTACTGACAAGGTTGTAGTACCGTCAATGAGACGTTGGTTTCTGCAATCCACGAGTAAGTTGTAGAAACTGAGCAAGTCGACACCAATGATGGGTCGAGATACATCGGCGACTGTAAAAGTCCATGCAAAATCTCTCCGAAGTCCCAAATCCAAGTGAAGCTGAACTGGTCCGTAAGTATGGATGACGCTATTGTTTGCAGCTACCAGGTCGTATTTGGTAAGTGAGCAGGGCGTTTTATGTGCTGAACGTGGGAAAACACACAGGTCGGAACCAGTGTCCACAAGGAACTGCATTTTCGTTGCACGATCTGTCACAAACAAACGGCCTGATGATGTTGAAGGTGGGCAGTCGTTGGCCGCTACTTCCGACCGCCCTGTGCGTTTCCCGACGTGAAGGTACAAGGTTGCTTACATTTCTTCGCTTTAGCTCCGTATGTGAAGTGATAGAAGCAGTGAGGATGATTCGGAGGTGGCTGCTGTGGTCTCGAGCGACTGCGTGAGCGATCGCTTCGCTGTGACTTGGAACGACTGCGTCCGGGATGCCCTTTCCTAGACATGTGAGAGGTAAGTGAAGCTACTTGCCTAGTGAGTTCGCTTATCTGCTTAGTCATCTCGTTGAACCGATCAGCACCTGAGGATGATGTACTAGCGACTTGAGGAGATGGTGCAGCGATGTCGTAGACAGAATCAGCCAAATCAGCCAGGTACTCCAGTGGCTCGTCTCTCCTAGAGGCTAAAACAGTTCGGATTTCCTGGGGTAACCTGCTGGTCCAGATAGTCTTCATGAACTGGCTGGGCACGTCTGCACCTGCTAGACCCTCTAGGTGGCGCAGGAACTGCGAGGGCTTCCGGTCTCCTAGCTCCTCTCGCTCCAGCAGCTGCTTCAAACGCTTTTCCTGCGACGCACATAATCGTTTAATAAGTTCAGTCTTTATTTTCTCGTATTTGCCCGATGCTGGAGGATTTTTAATTACGTCCTTCACTTCCATTGCGTATTGTGTGTCGAGCTGTGAAACTACATAATGGAATTTGGTTTCGTCGGTGACCACCCTAGAGAGGATAAACTGACTCTCCAGTTGCGCGAACCATACAGTAGGGTCCGCAGGCCAAAAAGGTGGGACGCGCACTCCCACGCGCGATACCTGAGGCTCCTCCACTATTGCGTTCGGAATAGGACCGTCCTCATTAGACATCTTTAATATTAAAAAAATATTAAGTCGCTTGCCGCTTGTGACTTGGACCACACGCTAAAATTTCTATGAAAGTGAAAGTGGTATGTATCTAAGTAATTTCTCAATACTAATTACACTAAGTATTTCAAAAAAGTACCTTAGAAACAGGTTCCCTTGTTAAGACTGATGCACTGATGCAATCCTGGATATTCCCGATTTTCAGCCACAAACCTTGAAAAATCTTCTACCTTCAAAAAATCTCATCTTCAAAATTCTTATGCTTTCGGGGTCACCAATATGTGGGGGAATCGCCACCACATTAATTCCCAGGTTCGTACCGGGATCCTTATCCAGTAAGGTAGGTAGGACGTTTAAGAAAAAATATCACTGCACTGAGGTGGAAGTCGAATGATGAACGATAGTTTAGTAGTTCCAACAATTATATTTTAAAAAGAATCTTTACAAAATTAACAGATATATAGATATTAACTCGATACAAAAATAATGAGCGGTAGTAAGCGTGAGCGCCGAACGCGGAGTGCGTAGGTAGGTCCGTACATTGCCGGTCGCTAGGCCGGTGCGACGTCACACGCCATCCTTTTGTTTACTGCCTCGGGTGTATGGTCCAAGTTGCGAAAGTTGAGCGGAGCTAATTACTTCGTAGGATGTGGTGTAAGTAGGTACGCCACATCACTCATGAACTTTCACTAAATAAATCTACAATTTTCTAGGAACCCAATGCTCAAGAAGAATCTGGCAACAATGATATACGGGAAGGCGAAACTAACGGGGATAAACGCGGCGTCTCATCGAGTTTATCGTCTCTGATCAAGGTATCGCCACTGAAGAGTTTACTCAGAGAGGACCTGCGCCGGCGCATCTCTGCTCGTGGTCGCGCCCGTGGCTCTAGTGTATGTTGTTGTTATGTCGAACCAATAACACCTAGGCTAAATAAATAATATATATAGAATAAGATGAATATAATCAAGCATAAATACTTCAAACTTCCTAACAAAAAAAAGAATCACGTGAGGAACAACGTGCTTCTTTGAAAAGATTCTGTTACCGAGCATGATGTGACCAATGGCAGTTAAATAGATTGTTGATATTTGCAGTTCGACATGTGTTAAAAAATAGGCATTTTATGTTGCTTAGAGAGGTCTAGTTTTGGAAAATTATTTGATACATGACTTGGAACTGGTCTATCTAAGGCTTTACGCAAAAGATACTAGAATAATATTCAGAATTTCAAATATTTTGTTAATTGAACAAAATGCCTGTTTTTGTTATATTTGATTGATACAAAGTGAATATAATAATTACTATATGATTGAATAACTACATTCGTCTAGACGGCGAATGTGTAATGTGTGGCCGTTATTGTTGCAGGCCGCCCGCGTGTCTCCGTCCGAGGGCGGCGTGATCACGTCGACGCACGGCGACACGGCCATGTTGCCCTCATCGCTCGTATGTACATTTTGCTCTATAACGTTCCCCGACTCCACATTATACTTTCTGCACAAAGGGTGCCACTGCGACTCGAACCCGTGGAAGTGCAACATCTGCGGCGAGCAGTGCTGCAACGTCTACGAGTTCAACTCCCACCTGCTGAGCAAGAGCCATCAATGACTGTTTGCAGGGGGGCCGTTCGATCACTGACTTTTGGTTTGATGATGCACTTCTCGTATGCAATGTGTGCATAGTCCGTAAGCACTTCGAAGATACTTCACTTTATACTTGTTTTTACTTTAATTGTTTCGTTTCAAGTGATGTAGCTATTTTATTTCTTTGTGTAACTATGGTCCTATTTTAAGTCAGGCACTGTATGTTGAAGTGCTTCGAATATGCTATATGCTAAACGTCCCCCCGAAGCTATTTTTTATTTTTAAAAGTGCAAATTATGTCAAGGTATATTTAGTGATTATAATAGTTAAATGTGCGAAGATATTTATATGGATATTTTAGTACTTAAATGAAAAGGGATATGATATGGTTATATAAAATTAAATATGTGGTCAGGTTTAATCATTTTGCGTTGAATGAAGTAGGCTGAATCCGGCGGTAATTAGTGTAACATTCCAAATTACGACGTATACATTCCATTTCGTGAGATATATGAAAAGGATATTACAGTCTTTGGAGGGGAATAAGTAACTACCTACTTACATTATCTTGAGAATATATTTTTATTTATTGTCTTGCAGTACTTAATTGTACATTACGGAGATTTAAAAATCTACTTAGAGTATTTTGGTGCGTAGTGAATTATACAAATGTTTATTAAAACTTATGGTGAAGAGTGTACAAATTAATATATATTTTTACATTTCGCTGTTGAAAAGTTATAGAAAGGCAAAGCCTAAAATAATCCGTGATTATTTAATTATTGTGATTGTGTACAGACATGAATTATGAATTCTACATTCCGTTTTTATTTATGATTCTTTTATAATATGCATGTGATGCAAGTCCACGACTAATACTTAATGTACAATTTAAATTATTTTGTTGTTATTATTTATTTTTTCTAAAATACATATTATACATTCTTAGAGTTATTAAATTTCATGATGTACTTAAAAAGTAAATCTAATATATGGATAGTCAAAAAGCACTTTCTGTTACGAGTTCAATTTCAAATAATATGTTGTAACTAAATTGAGAACATTGTAGTATATGTATACATTATCATCTTCCTACCCTTTTCACAAATTTATTTGGGGTGCAATAATTTTTTTCCTTCATTCCTCTTGATCACTCGACATCCTCTTTCACGTACTCCCTCATTTCATTGCGAAATGGTTTCGGCTCCCTAGGAATATAATCGTTCTTCGTACATAGTATGAAGTGAACGATATTTAGGAACCCCAAACACCCAGGGTTTTCCCAATTGTCAAACCAAACAGCTTCACAGTCCTTTTTCTACAGGGCAGCCATTATCACATTAATTATGCTTTTCTTAATATGGGTAAAACTTAGGCGGGTGTTAAAGCAGACACACACACTGCCACATTTTATTCACTTTTTTAATTATTTGTCGTACTAATCGATATTATCCACAGTATATGTATACATATAAACAAAAGTAACTCTTATTAAGCTGACTTGCTCAATCAAGCTCAATCACAGAGCATGTTGGGGTTTGTGCTCGCACAAAAGCATAATAAGGTTAGTTTCACATACTTTTATAATGGAATACCTCACAGAAAGGGGCAAGTGCTTTTTTAATGGTGCCTGTAAACATATGTTCGTTATTTATTAGTTGACAAAGTAATTCCAAGCAGACATATTGGTTAACAATACTTGAGTTATAAACTTTAAGATCATCGTTTTAATGCGTTAATAAAAATAGTTAATTAGTTTACTTTAAGAAAAATGCTCAACTTTATGGTGAACGATTTTATCAATCTTAAATAGCAAATATAAATTTAATCTATGCAATGATCCGATAAATGTGATTAAATATTAAACCAACTAGTTGATCGGGTTTAAGAAATTAGATGACCTATTTATATATGAATTAATTGTTATTATGTTCAGTTAGATATATTGTTTGTAAATGTTCATACTTCATATTGGTGATTCTGTCCCATTCCTCGTAATTAACCTGAGATTTACATTCCTTTAGCTATTAAGTACTTAATATCGGTTGTGGTCTTGCCTGATAAGTTTACTAAATTAACTTAAATGGAACTGAAATTATGTTTACCAACGAAGTTTATTTTTGTTTTGTTATTTCATTGGTAGTAGGTTAGCAGTCGGCGCACGCGGTAGTCCGTCCGTGAGTTGCATGGACATAGTGAGTTACCTGAAATGAGCAACACATATTTATTTATAGAGATTCTTATATTATGCTGTTTCAATTGTTGGTTATGTAGAACATGAATGTTTTCTTATATATATATAAATATATTGGTCCCGTCGCGCCGCAATTATCGTTAATATTAGAATAATGTAAGAGCTATTAATATTATTAATCGGTAACCCCCGTTGGGCGCCTTTACTTAATCCGTCCATATCTAATGATAGATATTGCCTTTAATATTTAATAGAGTAATATATTTTATAGTTTTTAGGCATAATTAAGAACAGATCTTGAGTATGTAAAGTTTTGAAAATGCAGAAGTTTAAAGATGTAGTTATATTTATTTTACTTCTATTTTATGGCTATCTGCATTGCAAACAAAATCAAAGTAGAATAAGAAAATATTAGTGCATGGTGCACCGTGAAGATTCACAGTTGATTTATTTGCAAAGCAGTCATAACATTGTTGATTGTTGCGGTTTGAAGTAAATATATTTTATTTTGTGTGCGGTAGAGTAATAAATAATATAAACATTAAAGTATTCCACATTATTTTAGAATTGTTGACATTAAATTAATATCATCGATTATGTAAATACGAACAGTATTTTTAAAATAACAATTTAGGGAATATTTCCCAATCGAAGTTAACTTTGTCTTTTGTAGGAACTTATTCGTTCCTACTTGAAACCTGAGCAGCGTGACTTAATTAGCGGCTAATGACTTACCCCTAAAAAAATTAAGTGTGCTTGTTATATTTTTTCATCGTGACACATGTGAATCAAAATAGAAAAGACGGAACTAAATAAATAAGCGGGTTAGATTTTTTCTTAAATGAGTACTATATTATACAAAATACTTGTAATAATAAAAAACAGTTTTTTTTAGTATAGCGATCCTCACCTTAATACCAAAACACAGCTTACCAACATTATAATTTTATTTTAAGTTGTTATGTATGTAATGTAAGGTAGAAAAATTAACATGGTTGAACGCAATTAGTGACTATAAGGAGATTGAAATTGTCGTTGATATTTTTCTGTTACTTTATTGTATCAATGTTAATAATAATATCAGACTATACTAATATATTGTAGAGTTACTACTTACAAGGAACCAGTTGGAATCATGCGTGATAGTTACTATATCAAATTTTAGCTGATTGTGCCTTAGATCAATAGTTAATATTGACAACATAATATAATATAAATGTTTTAAACTTTATTTAGATGTGTACATTGATTGTTGACATCTATAAAATATATATGTATATTATATTTATTAAAATCTGGGTGATTAAATCATGTTATTTATTTATTTATGTATATAAGAATACATATATACGTGGCTGATTTGGTTGCTTTTTGATGAAGTGGACGTGTTTATTTGCAGTTGATAAAAATTGTTCTTGTCTTCTAAGGATGGTTTACAGTGATCGCTCACTAATAGACTGATGTCTCAGCTTGTCTGTGTAGTCCAAGCTTAATATATATTTACGTTAGTCTGTCTAGATATTTCATTTACATTTGATATAAAACGTGGACTACACAGTCATTTTGGTCATTGTCTAAATGGTGTGCAACCACTGTTAGGATTATAAACAAAGGGTACTTATTACCGAGTATGTAGTTCTATTTATTTACTTATAATAATTTGGTAAAGGGTCTAATGAAATATTAATAAACTATGACATTCACTTTGAGTATTTATTTACGAATAAAAGTATATGGAAAAAATTCCATATACTTTTCCGAGTCCACCATCTTGTTCGCTGCCATTAAATGAACTAAAGTTGTGCAATTTTATAGTAATAATGTAAATATAATTATTGGAGATGTTTACGACGACATAATGTAACAGGATATCTTCATTTTCGTTGAAATTTGAAATAGAGATGGCAGCCCCCGACGAATATTCTTTGGTTGTTTATTAAGATTATGGGTAGTTAAATATGTTTTTTATTATGACCACATCCAAGTATATCTTCGAGAAACAAATAGGCGCGTAAGGAAGTGTTATGAAAATTGATAGTCTATTGTTTCTATGACCGACCGATCAACTCTATTATAAAAAGATTTTTACGTTTATTATCTTTCATTACATAATCTGATTAAGTCGGGTCTTTTAAATTATTTTATACTTTTTCGATTACGTTTAAACCGTCGTGGGTTATATACACACGCAAATAGATACCAATATTAAATGACAATCATGTGGAAGTTGATTCTGCCAGTTGCATAAGATTCTGCTTTACTTTTGTTTTAAAAGAAAAGGTGTTGGTGGCCATCCTGATCTCGAGAAGTTCAATCCAAAGAAGATCATCAAAGGATGAGCCAACTGACTCAGTCGTATGGGAGGGACAACAAAGAAGAAGGTTATTAGAGGACCGAAAGTTTCTTTCGTGATTGCTACGTAAAAGTTGGAACTAGGAGTTTAAATGTGTTGGCGAAGAAAGGTTATTTAAGATAGAGTATAGGACCATGAGAGCTCGTAGTTTTGGACGTAGACGAATTGGTAGCCAATTGAGCTGCAAACAGAAAGAGGATACATGATCATATTTACGGAGATTATAAACAAATCAAACGCAGTTATTAGGAAGACGGTCTCATTTATAACAGCACACGCACCATAGTCGATTACGGGAAAGATAAGGGTTTGCACAAGCATCATCTGAAATTGACCTTGATCACAACCTTGAAAGTTATCTCGAGGGTCAAGGGCGATTACAAATGGGATTGCATATTTTTGAGCCCGGAATTGAAGACAGAGGAAAAATTACAATCGGATATAACTACGATACGATATGATACTTCAGTACGCATAT